AAATATCCTCCAATAACACTAAATGAAAATAATGACGCTTAAAATTAATCAAGATGACGGAAAATATTCTTTTATTTAAATATATAAGGAAATAGTCGTTTGAATATACTTGAAAGTTCGATTTTTATATTTGTAAATAATTGAATATTTTTAATATGTCTTAGATTGGATGAGTAATTTTAATTAGTCTTTTGAATTCTTGGTGTTTTAGACAGAGTTATTTCTATTCGGGAAAGGAAAAAGAGAGACTGGGCTACCAAAAAGGAGAAGAAAAAAACAAAGGGGAATGTATCTCCAGAATTATCAAGTACTTCCCTTTCCGATTCAGATATGTTATCTCGGTGGAAAATGAAAATTAGATAGGTATGAAAAACCCTTGAATTAGGAAAGAAACTTGGTATCCAAATCATAGGTGATGAAAGCGAGGCGGTGAGGGATATAACTCTTTTGGAAGAGAATTCATAAGCCTTAAAACTAGGAGGTGTTCTCAGAAACTATGTGGTCACTTACATTGTATGTCAATTAATATGAATATAGAGTATAAGGCTTTTTGCCAATCTTTGTTGCATGGTGGGTTAATTCTTGGAGTGTATTGGATTGTATATATAATACGAATCGAGGGCAAAAGTTAAGTATGGTCTCCTCAGGGGACATGTTATGTAAAGTTTTAATGGGGTTGGCGATTTGTTTCAGTCGTTTTGGCAGGGTGAGAGAGAAAGAGTTGCATCGAGGATGGGGTATTAAGTAAACTCAGATCATAGGTGATTCTTATTTGGTAGTAGTGTTTTACTCTAATTGGTGATCCATAATTGTTGTGTTGAAGGGGTTGGTGATGCTTGTAAGGGTGACTATCTCTTAAGAAGAGTTCATATTTTTCTGCTTGTAATGGTTTGTTTGAAAAAATGTCTTATCATGGGTCTTGGATTCGTTCTAGCCCAAAATGGTGTTTTTCTTCAATTTTAATTGGTGTTGCTTTTAAGGGTGTTTCTCATTTGGTTTTGGATTCTCTCTATAGGTTGGAAGGGTGGATTTACTGGCTTGTTTATAGTGGTACATGGGATTTTGGAATTTATTGATGGTCTATGAGGTATTTTAACATGAAAAATTAAGCTTGAGGGTCTAATGAGAGGTTATCTCAATCTTTGGCTGTTATAGATTCATGTAGGAGATGATCTAGATAAATTAAAGGCTTGACTTCTTATGCTTCGGGTTTTACTAGATTTGGTGGTGTCGTAATTTGTAAAGGGAATTTTTTTTTGTCGATCGCTTTGATCTAAGGTGTAAATTTAATATTTTATTTCTTCTCCTTTGGCGATGGTGAATAATTTTCTTTGAGTTTGTTCAGTTGGCGTGGGAGTTGGTTATGGTGTAGTCTAAGATTATCCCAAAAAATCGAAATGGCAGCATAGAACATCTTGAAATGTTGTATTGTTAAGGTGCGAGCTGTTCAAAGTGTAGTGAAATGAAAGACAATCCTTGTTCATAGCGTGGTGGTGTTAGCGGTCTTATTTTCCGTCGTTTTGTGGGTGTGGAAGCTTTCTATAAAGGTTCGACAGTCTTGAGCTGGAGTATTATGGTTTTTAGCTGTTTGGTGCTTGGTTATTTTGTTATGGCTTCTATGTGTTGAACTTGTCGAATTCTTTGGAATGTGTTCTTTGTATTTGTGGTGAGGTCTCTCAACATGATGAATACTTGGTTGGCATGTTGGATTATCGAGAATTCATCCTCTTCTCGGTTTGGTGGATTTTGTGTTCCCTATGGAGCCATATTTTTTTGTTTCTTATTTTCGAGTAACGTTGTATAACTCTTTCTATATTTGACTTCTGAGAGTTAGCAGTTTGGTGTTCCATAGTTTTTTGGTTATGTTGGAAGTGGTTTTTATGTTTTGTTGTGTGTTCTGTAATGCCGGACTATATGTACTCTTTTGCTCTTTTTAGGATTAGTGAGGTTTTTAATGAAACGTATAGTCGAGGTTAGTCTTTTCTAATAAAATTCTATTGTCGATTAAAAAAAAGTAATGCTAGATTTTTTAGGGAAAACTGGCATTTCTCTACTTCAATTGGAAGGAGGAAGCACCTTCCTAGTTCATATTAGGTGGTTTTTACTATTCACTTGGAAGTAATGAAAATGTAACTTTTTCACCTTAGAAGCCCTTAAACAAATTAAATATTTTTGGGTGGTCCAATCACACCTTAAACAGTTATTTATGATAACTCATCGAACCATTTTTTCTAATTAAAGAGAAAACCCAAATGTAACCAAAACAAACCCTAAAACCATTTTTTTTCATTTTTCCAAAAAATTATGAAACCTTCAAAAAGGCATTGGTTTTGATTATGATATGTATGGTTCTTTGCGCATATTATTCATGAAGTTCATATCGGTCAGTCGCTTTAATCACATGTGTTGTTTAACATATGTTTTGGCTTTATGTGTTGAAACTAAAAAACAGTTTAGGTGCATTAATGCACAATTTGGTATAAATTAAAGGTTTCAAACAACTTCATAATTGAATCAGTTTTGGTTGAAAATTAGAAAGGGAAAATAATTCATTTAGTCCATAAAATTTTCACAAAGTACGTCCCTAAAACTCAACTATAAATAGCTTAGCCATTTTCCATTTTTCATATATTTAAAATCATTCAATTCTTCTCTCCTATACTAGAGAAATTTATAGAGTTTCTATTAAGTTGTTTTCTCCTTTTTATCAAGAGAAAATTGTTCTTGTTTTCTCCTTGTTAAATCTAGAGAAGTTGTAACTCACTCCTATTTTCTTATAGTGAAATTCTTCTACCTTTTCCTATGGATTTTACCCTATATTGTTTAGGAGTTTTACATGTAAAATTTGTGTCTTATTTATCTTTGTTATTATTTTCTCAAATTATCAATTACGATTTTGCTCTATCCGACGACTGTATTCCGCGACAATTGGTATCATAGCTTGATTTGAGTGTGTAATATATACTTTTTGTCTTTGTGGTTACCACTAAAAGATTGATCCTCCAACATAAAAAAGTAAGAATGTATTACCTATTCTTCGAAGGTTCCAGGGAACTGTTCACGTCAAATAGTGAAATAGTGGGAGTTATCTGTGATAGAAGTTATGGCAAAGAAATTTGATTTTGAAAAGTTTAATGGGAGAAATTCTAACTCTGGAAATTAAAGATAAAAGCTATCATAAGGAAAGATAGTTGTTTAGTGCCTATCATTAAAAGATCGACAAATTTCACAGATGATAATAAATAGAATGAGATAGACGGGAATGCTATGGCAAACCTTCATCTAACAGTACCAGATGAAGTATTGTCGAGCATTGAGGAGAAGAAGATAGCCAATGAGATTTGGGTTCATCTCACCAAATTGTATAAGGTCACATCTTTGCACAATAAAATTTTCCTAAAGAGAAAATCGTACACTTTTCGGATGTCAGAATCTACTTTATTTGCACTTAAACGCCGTTAATGAAGTTGGAAACAGTGAATTTATCAACTTCAATTTGGATAAGGATGAAGACGTGTCGAATGGGATGAAGATGAACAATGAGAAATTGAAAGAGTTTATTGGACTAAAATGACAAATTTTTAAAATGTGGTTGCTATTTTTGTTAATTATTTATAACTAGAATTAAATCAATTGAATGTGTAAATATGGAGGATTAAAATTGTTATTATCCCAATTAAAAGAAAGGCACGTCAATCTCACCTGTAATGACTAACGAAAGCTTAATAATGGTCGATGAGTTTATTGCACAAAACTAAAACATTAGTGACCTAATTGAAAAAACAATCATGTTCAACAATCAGAATAAAATCGAACCCATAGTTATTGACTGAATAGGTACTTTTCCCTTGTTAAATATTCAAACAGCAATAATAAAAATGCCCGTCTCGAGAGATCAATAATAAAATAAAAATTTATCCCAAAAAAATAATAAAATAAAAGAATAATAATAGAAACTATAAATAATTAAATCAAACATTAATTAAATCAAGCAATGAGGTATTGTGATTTTGGGTAAACTATGCGAATAGTCCTCTTTGTTTTTTGTACGATCGACTTTTTCACAAATTTAAAAATTCAGAGTAAATGATCAGTAACGTTATCGATCCATTCGATTTTAGTCCCTCCACAATTAATGTCCGTTAACCCATTAACAGAAGTCTTACGTGAGACTTTGTCTTCTTCTTAATTTAGCTGTACAGAACTGTGACCCACATATTCTACTGCAGTCTTTACTCTGGAAATAATGCCGGACCCAGTTTGAGCTTGCGGACTGTTCAAAATGTGGTCTGATCAAAACAGTGATAAGAACCCTCTAGTACGTGCTTGTCTTGACCGGTGGCTCAACGTTGGGAACCTTATGAGCCAGAAACGGTGCTCCTTTTGGTAAAACCAGCCTCTATTATAACTGCCCAATGACATGTTTCATTTAGAATCGGGGGAAAACGGTGCATAATGATGGCTAAGAATTAGATCATTTGCAGCATATAATGTGTCCAATGTCCACTGAGAACTTTGAAAAATAGCCTTGCTGCATGCACCAAAAATAAATCAGAATTATACAAGTGTACTTATTCAGACCCTTTAATTAAGCATACTAGCAAAGTTCAAAAAGAGAATCACAATGTAAAGCAGGAGGTTGCTTAGCGTAATAACATTGTGGGACAATCAAATTATTATTATATATAATTGCCAACTAGACAAATATTTCAAGATCAAAATTGTCCAATAAATCTGACTTAGTGGCTCTCATTTTCTAGTTGTAGAACATTTTAATTAAAAGATCATTTTCAAGTTATTATTATATATAATTGCCAACTAAACAAATATTCCAAGATCAAAATTGTCCAATAAATCTGACTCAGTGGTTCTCATTTTCTAGTTGTAGAACATCTTAATTAAAAGATCATCCATGTCCTAGCTATAAAAACCCTTTGCTCACTTCATCATCAACAATATCATCTTGTAATAAGCGGTTTCATATTTTTTTACGTAAAATCTTTTTATTTCAGAAATGGCTTCAAGTGTCAACGTACCAACTGCTCTATTCCTTTCCCTCAACCTTCTTTTCTTTGCTTTGGTAAGCTCTCAAACTGTTGCTAATAATTTAAAAGGTTCTTCTTGTGCAACAAAATCTAGAATCTCCGTTGTTATTCATCCCGGAGATGTTGTCCCTAATGGCCGGGGTCAGTCCGGTACATGCAATCCCCTGAATCTCGGTGTGTGTCTTGATGTATTGGGTTTGGTGAACGTTGAGCTTGGTAATGTTCCTGTAAAACCATGTTGTAGCCTAATCCAAGGTTTGGCTGATCTTGAGGCTGCAGTTTGCCTTTGCACAGCTCTCAGAGCAAGAGTATTAGGCATTAACATTAACCTTCCTATTTCATTGAGCCTTGTTCTCAATAGTTGTGGACGAAGTGTTCCTACTGAATACATTTGCAGCCTTCAATAGTGTTATTCTCCGGTCTTCGATTTTATTGTGTGTTGAGTGTGCAATTGTTTATTTGTTGTATCTTATAATTCCTTTCCCACCAAGTTTTTTTACTGTATCTCACTAATTCTAAATAAATGTCAACTTCTACTTTACCACATTAGATAAATATTTTTCATTCAATTATCAAATTTAGTATGCTACCCTTTTCATCAATCAAATTTTGTTCAATAAATTTTAGAGCAGATTTTATTCTGACCATTGAGGAAAAACATTTATTAATAAGGTCGCTAAATTTTCCTTTTGGTGTCAATCAAGCCACTAGTAGTCCAAAACCAAACGAAGAAAGTGCCATGACCCAATAAAATATTGTTTTTAGTCCTCATCCTATCAACATGATCTTGATTCAAAATAACTCATTATATTTGACCCTACATGTTTTTACATTTAATCGATTTACTATTTCTTTCTTCTACATAACCTCTCTCAAATCCTAATCCGCTTTATATAAGAATTCTATCAATTCATTACACAAATGCATCATCTTCATCCTCATAAATGAAAATATACATGTAATTTTGCAAACAATAATTGAAGAAAAAACAAAAATTAACTATTAATGAAACAATATCCATGAGAAGGGAGAGAATGGAAAGCATTGGCAAATCATAAATATTTATGGGGAAGAACACACATATACTATTAATTCCTTATTCAATTGGTAGTCATATTTTGTAATTTTAAATAGGAAAATATCCTCCAATGACACTAAATGAAAATAATGACGCTTAAAATTAATCAAGATGACAGAAAAAATATTCTTTTATTTAAATATATCAGGAAAAAGCCGTTTGAATATACTTGAAAGTTCGATTTTGATATTTGTAAATAATTGAATTTTTTTAATTCGTCTTAGATTGGATGGGTAATTTTAATTAGCTTTTTGAATTCTTGGTGTTTTATTTCAATTTAAACAAAAAGTAATGCTAAATTTTTAGGGAAAACTGACATTTGTCTACTTCGATTGGAAGGAGGAAACACCTTCTTACTTCATATTAGGTGGTTTTTACTATTCAGTTAGAAGTAATGAAATGCCAACTTTTTCACATTAGATGCCCTTAAATAAATTAAATATTTTTGAGTTATTTAATCACACCTTAAACATATATTGATGGTGACTCGTCGAACTATTTTTTCATTTAAAGATAATACTCAAATTTAATCAAAATGAACCCTAAATTTTTTTTCCAAAGCATTATGAAATCTTTAAGAAGTCATTGGTTTTAATTATGGTAATTATGGTTCTTGGAACGTATTATTCGTGAAGTTCATATTGGTCAGTTGCTTTGATCACATGTGTTGTTTAACATATGTTTTGGTTTTATATTTGATACAGAGATTATATTTATTTTAAATTTACGTGATGGTCAAATATAGAAGATTTTGATCTCATATGGTGTTGCTTACTTAATTGTTTTAACATGATAGAGGTTTGATTCAATTGATTTGTGATAGTTTGATGTGAAACGTGACATATATTATCTGACGATGGTATGTTTAGATTGTTACTATGTGGGACCAATGTCAGTTGATTGTCTCTCGCAGAGTAGGTTTTGCGCCCGGGAAGTAGGTTCTCTTCTATAGTGTACCCTGATTTTAAGCGTATTTGGTGTTATTTAATTTTTTTTGGTTATTTCAATGCATATTTGATACCAGTTTGACCAATTTTAGCTTTATTAGTGGTTTTTAGTCTTAATATAAACATTGTCGAGCAAAAAAATAATAATAATTTGTAATAGTGGTGTACTTCAATTTTGTTTAATTTATTATTTTAAAATGGTTTAACATAGTATTTTTTTTATCTTTTCATTTTTTTTATGAATATATTTTTTATTATTTTTCTCATATTATATTTTTTCTCATCAATATCGTATCAATATACATATTATCTTATTTTCCTTTAATTTTTCACATGAATATTTCAATGTACATATTATGAATCTACTTTATTTGCACTTAAATGCCGTTAATGAACTTGGAAACAGTAAATTTATAACCTTCAATTTGGATAAGGATGAAGACGTGTCGAATGGGATGAAGATGAACAATGAGAATTTGAAAGAGTTTATTGGACTAAAATGAATTTTTTTTAAAATGTTGTTGCTAATTTTGTTAATTATTTATAACTAGAATTAAATCAATTGAATGTGTAAATATGAAGGATTAAAATTGTTATTATCCTAATTGAAAGAAAGGTACGTCAATCTCACCTCACCTGTAATGACTAACGAAAGCTTAATAATGGTCGATGAGTTTATTGCACAAAACTAAAACATTAGTGACCTAATTGAAAAAATAATCATGTTCAACAATCAGAATAAAATCGAACCTATACTTTAATGAGTGAATAGGTACTTTTCCCTTGTTAAATATTCAAACAGCAATAATAAAAAGAAAAAATAACTTCAGTAATCGAAAATGTCTTATAATATACGATTTTAACTAATTTTTTTTAGATTTGTAAAAACAACCAATAAATTCGCAACGCAAACTCCTATTACGCAACACACTTTCCAAATTCGCAACTCGAACATGGAAATTTTCGCAATGCAAATTTTGTTTTCGCAACGCTAATTACCAATATAGGTAAACACAGCTATTCGCAACGCGAATTTGAAATTTGTAACTCGAACATGAAAATTTTCGTAACGCTAATTACCGATATAGGTTAACACAACTATTCGCAACGTGAATTTCGCCAATTTCGCAACTCAATTACCGATATAGGTAAAAACGGTAGAAAAAATTCAGTAAAAAATCTAAATTCGACAATTTGAAAACTGAGTTACGAATTTGAAAAATTCGTGTTGCGAAATGTAAAATCTCGCATCTTAAAGAAAAAATTAAATGACATAAAATGCACTATAGTGGTTTTCAACCTGGGACATTCCAGTTGCTAAGTCTACGTATGAATCACTCAACTAAACCTACGCCTGTAAATGAATTAAACAAACACGAACGAGGGTATGTTCATGTTCATGTTCGTTCGTTCGTTTAACTTTAACCAAACAAACGAACTGTCAGGGAAAACGGTGCACAATGATGGCTAAGAATAAGATCATTTGCAGCATATAATGTGTCCAATGTCCACTGAGAACTTTGAAAAATAGCCTTGCTGCATGCACCAAAAATAAATCAGAATTATACAAGGGTACTTATTCAGACCCTTTAATTAAGCAGATTAACAAAGTTCAAAAAGAGAATCACATCACACATGTAAAGCAGGAGGTTGCTTAGCGTAATAACATTTTGGGACAGTCAAATTATTATTATATATAATTGCCAACTAAACAAATATTTCAAGATCAAAATTGTCCATTAAATCTGACTTAGTGGCTCTCATTTTCTAGTTGTAGAACATTTTAATTAAAAGATCATTTTCAAATTATTATTATATATAATTGCCAACTAAACAAATATTTCAAGATCAAAATTGTCCAATAAATCTGACTTAGTGGCTCTCATTTTCTAGTTGTAGAACATCTTAATTAAAAGATCATCCATGTCCTAGCTATAAAAACCCTTTGCTCACTTCATCATCAACAATATCATCTTGTAATAAGCGGTTTCATATTTTTTACGTAAAATCTTTTTTATTTCAGAATTGGCTTCAAGTGTCAATGTACCAACTGCTCTATTCCTTTCCCTCAACCTTCTTTTCTTTGCTTTGGTAAGCTCTCAAACTGTTGCTAATAATTTAAAAGGTTCTTCTTGTGCAACAAAATCTAGAATCTCCGTTGTTATTCATCCCGGAGATGTTGTCCCTAATGGCCGGGGTCAGTCCGGTACATGCAATCCCCTGAATCTCGGTGTGTGTCTTGATGTATTGGGTTTGGTGAACGTTGAGCTTGGTAATGTTCCTGTAAAACCATGTTGTAGCCTAATCCAAGGTTTGGCTGATCTTGAGGCTGCAGTTTGCCTTTGCACAACTGTCTGAGCAAGAGTATTAGGCATTAGCATCAACCTTCCTGTTTCATTGAGCCTTGTTCTCAATAATTGTGGACGAAGTGTTCCTGCTGAATACATTTGCAGCCTTCAATAGTGTTATTCTCCGGTCTTCGATTTTATTGTTTATTTGTTGTATCTTATAATTCGTTTCCCACCAAGTCTTTTTACTGTATCTCACTAATTCTAAATAAATGTCAACTTCTACTTTACCACATTAGATCAATATTTTTCATTCAATTATGAAATTTAGTATGTTACCCTTTTCATCAATCAAATTTTGTTCAATAAATTATAGAGCAGATTTTATTCTGACCATTGAGCAGATTTTGATCTATGAAAGAAACCACGTGTACGGAACAAAATTCTAGACCAAACCTTGTTTTTATTAATTAAAGAGTTAATTGCATCATATGTCTTCAAAGTATGACCATCTTTTTAAATTAGTCCCTAAACTTTTCAATATTCCAATTTTATCCTTAAACTATGATTATCATTCTAAATTAGTCCTTGAACTTCTAACATTGCAGTTTCATCCCCAAACTATTACCTTCATACTAAATTAGTCCCTAAACTTTTTAAAATTCCAATTTCATCCAAACTATACTTATATACTAATTACATCCCTCGTTAATAAAATCATTAGGCCAAATTATATTGTTATGTGTTTGAGAAAAACAAATTTTAGGTTGAACTATGTTTGAAACCAATTACATATTTGGAAGAATTTGGGGATGAAATAGGAAAATTCAAAAGTTTAGGGACCAATTTAGAATGAAGTTCATAGTTTAGGGATGGAATTAGAATGTTCAAAAGTTTAAGAACTAATTTAGAATGAGAGTTATAATTTGAGGATGAAATTAAAATATTCAAAAGTTTAAGGACCAATTTAAAATGAGACTTATAGTTTGAAGACATATGATGCAGTTAACTCTTAATTAAATGTAAACTTAATGCAAAAATAAGTGCCCAAATTATACAATAAGTTAAATTTAGGTGCATAAAGAATTTTTCGT